CAAGACCACATTCAAAGGATCTCTAACCAAACCGTGAACCAGCTTCTGTTACAGGACTTCCAACCCCTCACCAAAATTGGGCCATCCAGAATCAGCATCACCCAGCACCTCCTGACCATCACCACTGCCTCAATGACACCCCATGCCCCTAACAAGGGTCAGACACTGCTCCTTCTCAGCAGGAAGAAGCTACAGAAGATTGATCTACATCCCTGTCCCTTAAGGGGCACAAAAACAAATAAAAAAGGGGGGAATGTAAGGTCCTTGCTTAGCACCTGGATGACCATCTTAAGTGACAGCCACCATCTTAAGAAAAATTTTGCTTTCCCACCCAAGGGTCTTTCTGAGAAAGGCTCACCACTCCCTCATACCAGCCCAACCCTCAATCAGCTGCATGAAGACCCACCCAGCTCTATTCCTTGACCTTGCCCCATAAAAGTCACAGAACCCAAGCCTGTAATTTCTGTCTCCATCTATGGAGAGATGTGCCTTTAGTTGTCAGCTCTGATAAATAAACTCTCATGCGTATCTCTGCCTGGTCTCCATCTTTCATTTCTTGCTCACCGTCTCCTGGTTCCTCACTTTCCTTACAGTTTTCTATAAATAATCAAACTATAAATCAAATGTTTATGTAGGATCAGAATTTTTAAGCTTGTAGCTTCTCAAATTAATTAATATCCCATGCATTTTCTCCAGAAACAAGTGGGGATGGGACCATCAGAATTGGAAGAAAATCAAGAAAGAGAAAGTTATTTCATTGCAAACATCACTGATCAACACAGAAGCATATCAAAAGGAAACTACCAGCTAATTTTAAACAGAAGGACAGTGTCTGAGCAGTAGGTCTACAAAACAACCAATGCAAATTGTAGTGTAAGAATGGGTAATTTCAGAAGGAACACTTTCACAGGAAAAAAAAAGAATATTAATTTACTGATAGTTTGGGCTCTGTAGAAAATTACATTGAGTGGCTTTGTTTCAACAAAGATGTTAGAGATTTAGGAGAGAAAACAATAAGGTAATCATTACAGAAAAACGGATATACCACTTGGTTCAGCAGTGAATTGTCACAACAAAAAATAACTTACCTTATACTGAGAGAATGAGGAAAAGAAGACTTATAAGAGAATACTCCTTTCATGGCCATATGTAAAAGTCAGTTGTAACTATCTAAAGTCAATGACTTGAAAAACACTAACATTCCTACTAAGGAATGCAAATACCAAAAAAAAAAAAAAATATTTAAAATAAGTATTTATTTTGCCACTCTAAGGTAATATGGAGAAAATTTGGGAGTGGTCAAGGGTAGAATGTTTGCTGATAACTTTGTTATAGTTTTCTTTACTATTTTCTGGCTTTTTAAAAATAACTTTTATTTGTGTATTATGCATAAAACTTTTTATTTTGATGAATTTTGAAATCATTTTTAAGAATTAAATGAGAGAAAAAGGAATTCTTGATACTAAAAACAAAGTACTTTTTCTGCTAATCTTTTATCACCTAAGTACAATACTCAGATGCTACCTTTCTGAGTCTTTTCCTTGTGTGATTTCAGCTCTACATTTATAAAATGAAGTAGTATTTTATATATCTAGGCAAAGAATGTACTCCCAGGTTTGGGGCAGCATTAAGGCTTTCTCCTAAATGAAAAAAAAAAAAAAAAAAAAAAAAAAAAAAACACCTTGTACAGTACTGATATTTCCAGTTTTTTTCTTCAATAATATGAGTTTTATATTTCTGTGAAAAGAACACACATATCATCCAATGACATACATGTGACCACTTAGTGGTCTTGGATTGACATTTATATTTATTTTCCAAACAGGGATAATTTTTTTTTAAATCACTAAATATATGGTGAAGGTTAATGAGGTTTTAGGCCTATATGGGGCTTTGATCAAAGGTTCCAGAAACAAATATTTCATTTAAATATTCCTGCTCCTTTTCTTTTTCATAAAGCCTAAATTATCACATTAGTGACATATTAAAACCTAGTGACTCTAGTAGAATATTTTGTATTCCCTCTTCTCTCTACTTATTTGCCATGTTCTCTTTTCAGGAAATCAATATTTTATAGGTTTCTGTAGCCCCCAGTCCTTTTCTTCTTGCACTTTCCCTAAGGTTTCTATAAAACTTCTATCCCACTCTGACCTGTTCTTTTTCTTGTCACTTTAGAAAAAAAGGACTGAAGCCAAGAGGGGTTTACACTCTGCCTGATACTCAAGGCCTGTATAAAACAACTTCCCAAGGTCCCTTGACTTCACAGAGTGTTTGAGTCTTTAGTTGAAGAAAGTATAAAACTAAGACACGAAACAAGACCACAATTTGTTATGCATTTTATATCTAAGGGTGAAATGCCCATAACAACAAAAACAATATTGAATGGGGTGTTTATGAGCACACCATCTACCGTTTTCAGTGTATTCAGCAGTCAATACACATGAAAGTCAGTGTGGATATGGAAAATGAAAAACCCCAAAATAGTGTGGCCTGAGAAAAGGGAGTGAAAAAGAAAGCCATACATTGATAGATTTTCTTTCTTCCAAGATGAACCCTCTCCAACTCCTGGCCACCGGCCCCCAAACCAAAATCCAAATTCCTGAGTGCCCAAACTCACAGGCTCACTAAATCACCTCTCAGTATAAACTATATAAGCCCAAACTCCTCCTTTAGCCAGTGGCTCATTTACCACCATGGAAGTGGGTTCGTTGGAGGTATAATCTTGTTCCTGAATAAAAAGCTGAAATGACCCATGAAGTTTGCAACTGGCCTGGTCTTTTTGTACTAACAGTCAGCACTTGTCCCGAGGTAGCTAAGAACTACCATCTAAAATAATATCCAAGAAATGAAGATCCAGAATAAGGAACATGAAAACTTAATGTCTATATCATTAAAGAATGGAAATTGGACTAAAACATTTTGTGAAGGATTCTATTGCAATCAAAAATGTCTTTTAGGATCATTTTTAGCAGGAAAAAAACACTTAAGTCCACCTAAACAATTCTGATAGTGTTTCCTATTCCTCTACTAGTTATATTTAATAAGTTGCCCCTCCATCCAACCCAGTACATTAAGTCAGAAGACTGCGAATAAAGTTGACTGCTTTTCCCTTTCACTATACCTCCAAATTCTGCAGACTGTGCATCTCAAAAACATTAGTTCCAACTATATTTCTCTGACTTTCCCATTGATATCTGTATCATATAAACCTAAGTAGCCTACCATAGACCCAACTAATATTACTAAATTCATATCTGTGTCTTCCAGTTTAAAACTGTCTTGATTAGAATAAATTTCAACCCCTTAGAATATATTTCAAGAACATCTGTGATTGACTGCACTCCCTCTTGCATGTTTCCATATTTGTCTCAAATTGCCCACTCTTCTTTCTTTTACCTCCTAAATTTGAGCTCCCTCCTCTTGCCTACCTGCTTTCTTGTAAGCTGATTCTGCTTCCTCCAACCTTGTGCCTTCCTCTTCTATTTCCTATTCATCCTCCAAAAACCTGATCCCTAATCTAAACTCAAGTCTTCATGCTTAGCTTCTGGGTTTGCCCTCACTCACAACCACTTGGTAAGTAGAGGATTCCAGTGGTTTTTAGAAAATTAACAGATTTTTAAAGTGAGAAAACATTATATATTTTTATGAAAATGGGGAAAAAAATCAATCTCCCATTTCAATTGCCTGTTTGGGGACACCTAACAGAACACTAATGTGAGGTCAAAAATTTGCTGTGACCTCAATTTTTTTTTTTTTTTGGTAATGTTAAAAAAAAATGTGAGTGGAGCTCCTATACCTTTAGTTTAATATGAATTGATCAATTTCCGGTTAGATATTTGAGAAAGCAATTTAATAGAGAGATCTACAACTTGTGAAAATACTTATATTATTTTTCCTAATTGTATGACTAAATAACAATGAAAGCAAAGAGAAATAGATTTTGAAATATCCAAGGAGACACCTTCTGACCAAATGTTTTCACACACTGCTTTATGTTCTCAAGTATATTATATATAGTTCTCTAATAGTACCTTATTTCTCTCTCAAAACAACTCCATGTGGTAGATAAAAGGTTATCACTGGACAGTTTAAATGGCTCATCCAAAGCTGCCACTTGAAAGTTATTGATCCTTTTGATTCCAAGTTCAGAGCCCTTTGTTCCATAGTTGCCCAATGTATGTGTCATAATCTTGAGAACTCAAGGTGTTAATACTTTAGAGTAACACTGCTCCCTCCAGATATTCTATTTTAAAATATAAATAATTCAATAAAGATTGTATATTTAAGCACACTTATGTGGCAATTATGTGGTAATTTTTTTATATCATTGTCCCTTAAGTCAGGGAAACTCCATACTAAGAGGGATTTGTGACCACTGACAGGTGGTTGGAGGAGAAAATGATTATCACAAAATAGGATTTGGAAACTTTGCATCCTTACCACTTTCTATCTCACCTACCTCCATACAAGAAAGCCAATATCTAAACAAATGTGCTCTATTTAAAAAAGCAGTTCTTTCCCAACTATGTTTAGCTGGCACTAAGTGGAGGGAGGGGAAGGGAATAAGGAAGAGAAGAGATGGTGTAATGAGATGGACATCATTACCCTAAGTCCATGTATGAAGACATGAATGGTGTGACTCTACTTTGTGTACAACTAGAGATATGAAAAATTGTGCCCTATATGTGTAATATGAATTGTAAAACATTCTGCTGTCATACGTAACAAATTATAATTTTAAAAAATTCAAATGAATTAGTATTTTGCTGTCTGTACCTGTTACTGTATCTTATACTTGAATAGATACAATTTATAATATACCTGTGTATACACTATCCAATTTGATTCTCTCAATAGATATGTGGTTTGCATATGTATAGAGGAGAAATCTAAGTCTGAGAGACAAGAACAGAGTCCTGTTCTTCAGTCTCTTTAAAACTCTTCCTTCCCAAACCCACCATCTCATGCTGATAGAGCATCCTTCTAAAATGTATACTTACATTTCATCACACCTTGAATCTCATAAACAGGCTTGAGAATCAGAGTACCATAAAAGTCTTTAGGAAATGGATTTGTTGAGTCCCACTTGTTTGAAAAATCTGTAAGTCTCACAGTTCTTGTTCTGTTCTTGGGAATCTTCCATTCAACAATCTCCTTTAGGGTATAAATATGTTCATCTTCACACTCATAGAATTCTCCTTCTTGTGCCAAAGGCAAAGTAAATGAATGATTTTGATGATTCCTTATTACTCCACAGTTCACCATTATTTCTCCATCAATCTCTTCAACTGAATTGAGCATAATTTTTTCACCCTGTTTTATGGTGAAACTTTCTAGTTTTATATCCTTCCGATGATAGAAGCAAGGATGCCCTAGTCTACTGGGTCCAATATGAATGGTCCTTGTAATTTCTTCCATAGTAAGGTATGGAGTTTTATCAGCCACGATCTTAAAGAGACCTAAGAACATAATTGTGTGAATTAGAAAGGCATTACAATGAAAGTTCTCTTAAGAAAATCACAATAAGAGTCATAAAACAAATATAATGTTGCTTTCTGAAGTACTATTCTTTTCTAAAGATCACAGACATATTTTTTAATCCTGACTTTTTCTAGGTAAAATGTAGGCATACTGTTGTAGATTACTGGATTATCAGATCTGGAAAAATAAATGAAATAAGGATAAATACCTTGAAACAGAAAATGCCCTGTTCCCGGAAATGGAAATTTTCTATGTGATACTGGCTCTGCCTCCGGTACCAATATGATCAAGACAAAGGCAATTAGTTTCTCAAGATCACATTTTTTACTTTTAATTTTTGAAAAGCAAAGATTGAATTAGATTAGGTTTTGCATCCATGTCTTCTTTAGAGACACAAAAATTAAAAGCTATTCCAGAGGGAAACTGATTCACAGCCAAATTGAAAATTTGTATTTCTGGAGCCAGATCATGATGTACAATATTGTAAATATATCAAAGGCCACCAATTTGTATAATTTAAGATTAAAAATTTTATGTTATGTGTATTTTAACATGAAGAAAAACATTGCATAGTTCCAATGACTGTAAGATTTTTCAGAAACATTAGATGTGCTATAACTCACAAAATGGGAATATGACATGTAGAATTTCTTTCATGGTAAAACTCTGGGAGGAAACAAACATTCATAAATCATAACATAATATATCACAGCATATTGGTACTCCTTATATCCCTCCTTGGAAAATGCCAGGCTAGATCATTGTTTTACTATCATTATTTATTTTTTATTGCTTATTTAGCTTTTTCATTAAACATGTTCACTGTTTTCACTTTTGCACTAATTTCTGTTTGTTAATTTGAATTAACAAAATTGTTAATCACTATTTGAATTTTTTCTCTAATATTATCCCTATAATCATTGCCTCAGTGCAGAGATACAACTTCTTATAGTTGCATGTTTAACTGGTTCTCCTGTTTGAATTGCTTAGTTTTTATTTATGGGCACATCTGCTTTGCATCGCTTTCAGAAATTTATTTTTTGAATAAATTTGTTAAATTGCAGAGAAAATAAGAAAATTTAGTTAACTGCTTTCTCAAACAAACAAGTTAATGATATTATATAGTAGCATGCTCTAAGTAGAGAGCATATTTTAAAATTTATGAGAATGATATAGCTTATTAGTTTACTCCACAAATATATTCCAATTAAATTCACCTGTATATCAAATTATTTGTTAACCAGGTTATAGTATATTTAGAATTACTGTACAAGCACTTCTAATAGGGTATTTTTAAAATCATGCTCATATGATAAAAAGAAATTTCAATTACTTTTAGATGTAAACTTCCTAAAGAAAATGTAAGTGACATAATTCTATAAGGAATGACTAAGTTAGAATGTCTAGTCAATCCTGAAAACCTTTAGAAACTGAAAACTGTTCATCCACTATAAGGTGTACTTGAAGGCAGAAAGGAAAACAAATGGTTACTTGGAAACAATTTTATTATGCCTTGTATCAGGGAGAATCTAATAAACAGTATACTTGAATTTGCCACAGTAAATGAATTTGTGTGTGTGTGAGTGTGTGTATGTGTATGTGTGTGTGATTTAATCTCATTTGTCAGTGTGTGAAGATTTATTTCTAAGAGTCCACAATCATTATCAAGGTATAGAAAATTCAGCAGTTTTGGGGAAATAAGTTTTTTAAAAAATAGCTACCTAGAATCTCATAAAAGTAGAGACACATAGTTTTATTTTTATCCTAGGTATATTGATGACATAAGTCACCAAAGAATTAATTCACCGTCATATTTCTTGGGGAATAGAGTTCACCTAAGGTAATAACAGATCTAAAATATTATGAAGTAGAAACAGACAGAAACCCTATGGGCCACTATTATTTCAAGTTAATCACACTCCTCAGTGCTGTCTTGTTGGATGTCTTTATTGCAGGAAAAATACATCTGTGAATCAATGTGTTTTCTCTTAGAAGTTGATGTAGCACACAGGTTAGCATACTAAGTGTCAGGATATAGGGAAAATATTTGATTGAATTACCATATCATCTATGATTGTGGCCAATCCAGAGTCCCTTATATAAACATCCATTTCATACCATGTAAACTAGGGCAGAATTTTTTTTAATATGAGTCATATTAAAAATTCAATTTTGCAATGAAAGAAATTAAATATAAACTAAAGCATCACCAGAACTGATTAACTCTAAATTTGACCAATTCTTCCTCCATCTCTTCCACAAAGAATATAAACAGTTTAATACTGGGGAAAATATGCTTTATTATTCTTCCAATGAGAAATAAAACATAATTCAAGAGCTAAGTAGTCATGAGAATTCTTATAAAATAAGCCAATATGTGATATTTCTAAAATAAGTTAAAAATCAGGAAGAAAATTGATTTGTATTTCCACTTTGGATTGTGAGCTATTAAAATAGATTTTATTGTTTTTTTAAATTAGGAGAAATTGTTCAAAAAGAACATGTCCCTTAAGAAATAAAAATTATAAAGAAATGCAATAAATTAAGTTACTGAAAATTAGTTAATATGTGAATCTACTCTTTAGAATATTTTCTCTGAATCTTAGGTTTGGGAGGAGTTTGTACTTTTAACTAATTCTTAATGATTCACAATCATTTTTATTAATAGTGACAGCAATAACTGAAATTTTTTTAGAAAGTCACAAGTTTGAATACTTTTTTCATACACATCATTCATCTTCACAATAAACTTCTGAGCACAGTAAAGCTAATACTATTTCTGGGAAATACGGAAATGGTCACAATTTTCACAGGTGGTAACTGTGCCTCTAAAGTCTCAATTCAGATTTTGACATCCAAATGTTGTATCTTGCCACCATGCCAAGTTGCCTCCTTAGTACACGTATGACTTACAGGGATATCATTCACAAAAACATGTTTATTCTGGTTCACAAAACATGTTTGTGAGTCTCACCAGATGGTCCTCCTTTGCATGCATCAGCCTCTCACAAAACTCCCAGTGAGAGAAGAGCAAGAATCATTTCCCGGTTCATTGTGCAAAAGAGAGGACCACCAGACTTCTTGTCTTGTATTTTTTCTGTCTCCTTTATTGATTTCCACCCAAATAGTAACTTTAAAAATTAGATTTCCTAACAATATATCAGAATGTACACTGTAAAGATTTCACAATCTTGTTTTCCTGGTTCAAACCCTGGCCTGCTTTCCCAACTTTGACCAAATCTATTTGTTCTGCCTTAGGGTGGGCAAGAATGCCCTCAGGAGTGTGGTGCATTCCAGCTCTGGGCCATTCTGCCTGAAACTCAGGCATCCTCAAGTTTCCAAAGTCACCTTCCTTCCAACCTAGTCCCAGTTTCTCCCCCAGGTATTGACAGTGACATTGGGGACTTCAAAAAACACACAGCAAGAAGGGACATACTGCCCTTGGAGATTTCCCTGATGCCTCACCATCATGATTCCCACCTCCAGCAAACCCAACTGGGACAAAAAGAAGGATTTCTGTGACCAAGCAGGTAAACCAGCCTGGCCTGCAGCTCCATCTGGTAAAAAAGAACTGCCAAGACCAATTCCCTCAGCACAAGGCCAACAGGAATGCTTGAGGGAAGATACTCAGGGCTTGGTGGCATCCTGTGTATGATACCACACATGCTTCTGAGACTGTATTCATCACACTCACTTGCTCAAAGTCATTTGTGATTCTCCCCATGGTTTTTTTTTGGTGACAAATCCCAAACTCCCTGGCAAGTGAACTAATATAAGTAATCTTGGAGTGAATTTCCTACTGATTCTCATCCTTTTCTCACACATCATCAAAATTAGGGTTAGTGAAATATTAGCAACTTAGCATATAGAAGCAATTTACATGTATTATATAATTTCATTTTCAAAATAGCAATATGGGGTAGCTCATATTAACAAAACATTAACATATCATGGATAAAGATGCAAAGCTTTGAAGAGATGCCATAAATTCTCTATTATCTAAGACAGAATAGATTTTTGTGCCTCCAAAGCTCAAGGGCTTAATCATGGAGTTATATATTTCACCCTTTCATTATTATTGCAAATCATAACATGTAGAGCCTTTAAAAAGCTAATAAAAATGATTCCAAAGTGAGCATTCATTCTCCCTTTGGATGCAGAAAAACATTTAACTTTTAAAATTCAATAGTATAAGAAAGTGAACTTTATTTATATTTAATACAACTTGACACTAGAATCATCAGTGTAGAAACTTAGTTGAGTTCTTGGAAAGAGGCCTGGCACTGACTGTACCAGGTTAAGGGTTTGCAGGGCTGCCCACACAAATTCAAGTACTTTCAGTACAGATCACCTGGATATATTTATGCAGGTCTCCAGAATATATTATTGTAGGCTTTAAATAAAGTAACTTATAAAATGGATATAAAACACAACTGAACAAAAACAAAAATAACGAAACTAAATTTTCTATTCCCATCTAAGTTTTACTTTAGCCATATTAAGAAGTACCAATAAAAAACTCTAGTTTTAAAAATATGAAAATTGACCAAAACATTTTTAACACTTCAAAGCTATCAAAAGGTGGACCATATCCACTATCATTACAAAGAAACTTTCCTTTGAGATATAGGTAAAGATAGGTCAAATATACAAACACTTGCACACACAATTTAAATAGATCAATATATGTATATGTGAAATGCACATTCAAAAATTTCTAACAGATGGAGGTATGTTTAAAAAAGTTTGGAGATAAATTATATTGCCATGTATTCTGACTATGAATCCTGCCCCTCCAAAAAGAAAGCAAAGGTCTCTCAGGTATTGGTGTGAAATGTTCCTCTGCCTCTTTGAACATACTTTGTTCTACAATCAAATTACTAAACATCCTTGTTATTATGTACTTCATGATTACAATTCTCACTCCACATAGCTTTTATAGCATTCTGTTGCATTCCCAAGAAATTTTTAGGTCAAT